CTTGCAAACATGCGTCGTCGATGTAAATTGAACTTAAATGACCCCGCGCTCTTAAATGAGAAAAAACTGGCTTCATCAGTTTAGTGAATATCATAGGGCTTTTTTGCAAATCCCATCACAAGCGCTGTAAATTGATATTTTACACCTTCGAAAAAGAAATGAAATACCGTCTGTCCCGTTCGTATATAGGTATAGTGTAAAAAGCATCAGAAATGTCGACTTGCCGAAATAACATTTTTTTCTCATTGCTGTGGTCACTGACCCCAAAGTTTCCATTTTAAAAATGTTATTTTGCTGACGCAGTTGCTATTGAAAGATTTTTAAATTCAAAATAATTCTAATTCGTCCGTCTGATTTTGGTCTTGTGAATATATTCGAAATGTATTCTCCGTCCAAGTTTTCGTCTGCAAGTTCTAGTATTCCTTGATTTAAAAAAACGTGTAATTTCAAACTGTATTGCTTGTTTTTCGTTTTCTTTAAAATTAAATGGTTTTGGAATTTTATACTGAAAAGGAGTTGCCGACAGCTGTACCCGATAACCGTCTACAGTTTCTAGTATCCATTTATCTTTGTCGTTATTTTTTCCACTCATTCAACGCCATTCTGGTCTCCCCCGCCCGAAAATTGAGTGAAGTATTTTATAATGGTAGAGGAATATTTCATATTATGATTACTTACTTCGGATATTAATTTTTCTTGTGCTCTTGATTGGAAAGAATTCTTTTTCTGCTGTTTTGTTCTGTAATTGTGATTTGACGTCGTCGCTGTAGATTGAAATTCATGTTGCCCTGTGAATTGAGTGCATGTTTCCGTTTGTGCTGAGGTACCAGGGTCGCCATGCCCTGGCGTTTCCCTAAAAAAGAACGCCTGGAAGTACATGTAAGTTGCTGCTTATTGTCCCTTAACTTTTTAAGTTTCTTCATCTACTTTATCGCCAAACAGATGAGTGGCAGATTGGTTTGCTGAACAAATTGGCCTTATAAAGCGGGAGAAGTTCTTTGTTTATCCTGTCACTTCTCATCTGAGAAGTAGTGACAAAAGCATTGGTTAACAGTTTGAAAGTATCCCCAATCAACTCTTTCATTTTTGGTCGTCCATCTGTTCTTAACTCATCCATGGTCTTAATACCGGTACCAAAGCAGACGAAAAAAATTTCTTGTGTCCTCTGCAACAGAAAATCCTGTGCTTTGACTTGAGATGGCAACTGTCGCCACAACTGCTCATTCACCAAAGGTAACTTGTAGAAATTCTACATTGTTAGGCCTCTTGTGTGTGTCCAAAAGTTCCTTTATTTTTTCTTCTTTCGGTTGTACCTGCAAAGCTTTAATGCTCAAAGTGGCTAGTTTGCACTTATCGCCGCTCCTGTTTCTGAGGCATCCTCGAAGAAATCCACCATGCAGAATTCATCATCATCATCATCATCATCTTTCCGTCGGTGACCCCAGATTCGGGTGAAAAATCTCCACGCTTTCGTTCATCTGAGCCTGAATCATCCTCTCGTACAAAAACGTTTTCGAAGTTTGATGTTTTCTTCGCAGGTAACTGCAGTTCTTTTCAAAGAATTAAATCGTCAGAACCTCATTTTCAGTCAGAAGAATCCGTTAAACCTTTTATTGCATTTTTGGATGTCTTCTAACTGACTAGAAGATCCTGCAATGTGTCCCGGAATTTTTCAAATATATTGGGAATATTGGACTGGTTGTTTCCGACCTCTTGATCGTCGGCCATGATCCTAAAAAAAAGGTTTTTTTAAACATTTTCTAGCAGCAGTCCATTTAAGCAATAAAATGAAGTAGAAACATATATAAACGATTAGAATTTAATCGCAGTCAGGCGTAAATAACGCCGTCAAATAAGATATCTACATAAATCATTAATTCGTCCCTCTGTGATATGCAAGACGCCCTGATTTTTTTTTATTTTTTTTGATTTTTTTTTTTTTAATTTTTTTTTTTTTTATATATTATTTATTTATTTATTTATTATTATTATTATTATTATTATTTATTATTATTATGTCATGTTGTATGAACACGCCCTATTGCAAACAAATATATAATTTTGTCTGTAATGTTCAGACCATTTTAGCTTTTCCATGGTGTTTGGGATAAGCATAATTACGAACAAATGTATCTTTTGTCTGTGGTGTTCAGACAGTTTTAGCTTTTCATGGGTGTTTGGATAAGCATAATTACGAACAAATGTATCTTTTGTCTGTGGTGTTCAGACAGTTTTAGCTTTTCCATGGTGTTTGGATAAGCATGATTTCATTACGAACAAATGAGTCTTTTGTCTGTGGTGTTCAGACAGTTTTAGCTTTTCCATGGTGTTTGGATAAGCATGATTTCATTACGAACAAATGAGTCTTTTGTCTGTGGTGTTCAGACAATTTTTTTTTTGGTATTTGGCAGCAGTGTTCAGACAAAATTTGCTAATAAATATTGTTGTTATAAAATGTATATCTACAAATGTATATATTGTCTTGTGGTGTTCAGACATCAAACATATACGAGGTTTTTTTTTTTTTTTTTTGTTTTTTTTTTTGTTGTTTTTTTACAAAAAGGTAAACGATTTTAAGTATAAACTTAAAATAAATATATACAAATAATTAAACATACCTCTTATCACACTTTTCTTAACTGCTTAATTAATATCCACAAATGAAACACTTGTTAGTCCTAAATAATTACACTATAATAATTTAAACTTGTGAAAAATACGACAGGCTTTACTTTAATTAAGAACAATTATACGTCTTGACCGTAGCTGCTAATGCCTCGTTATGACCACTGGCTGCTGATAGCTGCGTCTTCTCTCTGTGGGGCCCATTAGTGAGTTTATATGTAGGATGAAATATATTGGTCTACATCTTAGATAAAACATAGATCTTCTGCTTATCTCATATCAGAATAAACACTGAACAATGTCACTTAAACATTTTTTTATTTACAAATGTGTCTTCTTAGAAAAATACAAAAATCTTCTTTTTGTCAATACAAAACGTGTCGAACACTAACATCGACTGGCAATACGTCTTCATTACTCAACATAAAATAGAAACAACTTGTTTTATACAATCTAAAATTAACAAATTAACAAAACAAAAGTAAACTGATTTCTATCTAAGATGATAATTTGTTTCCATTGGTATAGTCTAGCATATCCACTTGTACGGTCTTACGAACAGACAAAATTCAACAAGAACCAAACAACTGTCAGCACATCTCAAGTACATTATAACTACGGATAGAAGACAATCAAGACAGATCCAACTGTACCCATTGAACTTGTACATTTATACGTATATACTTCAAGTACATAACAATGCTATACCAAATATTATACCATTACCTCTGTTGAATTTGTGTTATGGATAAGTCTAGTTTCAAATTTGCAACAGTGCATTTCAAGGATTTCGCTTTCAACAGTAAAGAGCCTGGTCAGACTGTACGGATATGCAGGCTGGTCTGGTTCTATACTGGTGACAAAGGCTGCTTAGTATCGGTTCCAGTAGATAATGGGTTGAAATAAATTACCACAAAGTCATGATTCTTGTTTTTATGTATGAGGTTATAAAAGCCAACCATAGCAAAACAGAAATGAAAATTCCGGCTTGATCACTTGTAATTGTAATGTAAATAATTACGTATTGTTAAATCATATTGCCGGCTATATTGCCGTCGTATAGAATTTAAAAATTAAGATGTATAGGGTTTCAATATCAAATTCATCTGTAACCAGAATCACTACTTATTGCATCTACGTCATTTCCGGTTACAGAAAAAATTCTATGATAACTTATATAATTACTATAGAAGTGAACACCTATGTTCTGGACGGTATGGTATTTTTACGTAGCATTATGGTTTACAATTGCGTAGCATCGATATTTTCTATTATTATTATTCTACTTTTTCCAATGAATTTCACATAATATTTGTGTATTTCTAGAGCAAATTATCTAGCAAACTTTATCTATATACATTTAAGTACACGTAAATCAAAACAATTTTAAAATGAACAAAATATTCAACGACATCCCCATTCCAAAAAAGCATTCGGAATTTTCAATCCATAAATGCATTCAATAAAGTCTGTTTTTCAAACAGTTCCATACAAAACATTCGACGTTACTGCACCTGTCAACATATTTTCTCAAGAACTTTTTTTTTTTACAAGAACGCATGATGTATTCATACGCCAAGTTGAAGATGGACCGTTGCCACGTGCGACTGTAAATGCTGCTGTTGACGGAACTTCTTTTGACACCATTTACAAATGTACGGCTTTTCTCCAGTATGTACTCTCATATGTACAAGCGTGTTTTGTTTCGTTGATGCGACCTTTCCACATATAGGACATGGCCAATGTCGTCCCTCGCCAATGATATTGTCTGAAATAAAAGAAGAAATACGTTCACCATTTAATCACTGTTCTAAATTGTTTATATACATTAATTTTTCTAAAATAAAACCAAACAATATGAAGCAATTTGGTAAAATAATGTAATGACTACATGTATTGCGACTATACAAATATACCAATGCAAAATGTTAATTATTTCTTCAGAATACATTGAGGTCGATTTTCTTTAATAGTGTTTTTCTAACGATTTGGTAATTGGGACTAGAACCTTTTCAAAACTAAAACTACTGAAATGTGGCAAAGAGGGCCGACAGTCATTTTGTTTACAGGTAAAGCTCCTATCTGATATCGAGTTATTAAGGTGACTAAGTAACAATTTTTTTAAATGCATTTGATACTAGTAAGATCGCCCAGTAAAATTTTGGGAAAGCCGTGATTTACATTTTTCCAAATTGCAACGGTCACTTACCCCATTCTCAAAGATCCATTAAAAACAAAATCAGAAATTTTACGTTTTATTATTTTACTCAACAAGAAACAAACATTTTTTTAAACAAAATAATCTTGAGTAATACAGACAAAATTATCATAAAATGAAAATATGAATAAGAAAGATAATGTGACAAATTCAGCAATGAATCAAAGTCTAAGTAAATGCAGTCAAAATAATTTAAATAAGATCTTAAATGGACTTATCACTTTCATGGAAATTTTCAAAATAAGAACTGACTGTACAATGAACAGTACAGGTCATGATAAGACAATTAACATGGATGCACTGGTCGTATGTGTAGCAGACGAAAGAGTTCATTACATTAAGAATTGAATGCACATGATTTATATACAGTAGAACCTGTCTAATCCGGACTCGTCCGGACCAGAAGAAAAGTTCGGATTAGAAAGGTTTCCGGATTAGAAGTTGTTTTTTTACATGTTTGTTCATGTTTTTGATCATTTTTGTATACAGTACACACATGTACATGATTAAATACACACTGATCGATGACATGCATATTATTTACATTGATCAATTTGTATGCATTGATTTATACATAGCGCTGAACAATGTATGCACAAATGATATAGAGCAAACAAATGCAGATGGTAAGTATGATAAGAGTTAAAGTAAACAGAAACTAAACTTTTACAAAAAGCAAAATATATACATTGCAAAATATTTGTTTATAAAGCATATAAAGTTTATCAGTGATCAAAAGAATGATCACTTTTTTACTTTTAATAAATATCTAATTAAAGCTAAACATATTATACACAATGTTAAACCAGTTTACAGTGACAATAGGCCTACATCACTCCCCATGACACAGTAAAAAATTCCTCAGACAGCATGGTCTTTGATAGCATTGAGGTCAAAATTTGATTTCATATACACTATGAACAGTGGTCAAAGATTGAAGCCAATTTTCTGTCACATCGATCATTTTGTTTAAAACTCACATGACCTTAATAGATGCAGCTACATACCAAATTCTTATACTCTGAGAGTTGCATACAGTTTCTTTTAACATTTCTATTAAAAATTTTACATCTGGAATATGTGACTATAAATGTGACTGATCTTTGAAATATTCAACTCATTGTGACAGCAGCCAAAGAATGAGCTTTTAGTCACTTTATATAACTTTTCTTTGTCATACTAGTAAAAATATGGATCTTCCCCTGAAGACAATCTTTCCTCTAAATCTACTGACTTGTTTGGGAGGTGGTGTATCAAACGTATGTTGATTACAAAACACATGACAGACTTCAATCTATCACAAAACCTCAACACTTAAAACTTTGTGCCGATATAAACAACAAGTTTTAATATCCAATGAACTGGTACAGTGTCCAAGCAACACTTCTGCAATCAAATAGTCTTGCTTTTTTATTTTAATTGTAAACTATTCCATCAAGTTCATGTGGGATTGTAAACCATTCCATCAAGTTCATGTGGGATTGTAAACTATTCCATCAAGTTCATGTGGGATTGTAAACTACTGCATCAAGTTTTCATGTGGGATTGTAAACTATTCCATCAAGTTCATATGAAATTATAAACTATTCCATCAAGTTCATATGGGATTGCAAACTATTCCATCAAGTTCATGTGAGTAGTCATGTGGGTCTTCAGGTGGTATTTTCTGTAAAATCGTTTGTCACAAACACTACAAACAAAAGGACGAATATTGGAATGAATTTTTAGATGATCTTTCAGAATGTATTTACTACCGAAATCTTTATCACACAAAGGACATGGTACCCTCTCACTGCTGGTAGCTTGACCTGAAAACATAACAAAATATATATTTATATAAATATGTTTAAAACTGTTTTGAATACAAAAAGAAACTCAACACAATAAAGCTCATAAGAATTAAACTTAATATATTCATTTTACATTTTTTATTTGCTCGGATTCTAAGACTCCTTTGAACTGTAAGGTCAAAGGCAACTTACCAGTTTTACTGGTAGAGAAAGCCCTTAGTGTGCCCCATCTGTGCATTATTCTAGCTACAGGAAGAAAGACCCCTGTTTTTCTGGATTTAGTGATTTTTCTTTTTTGTGTGCAGATTTGACTAAATAATTATATAATTCAAATAACACATTCACTGATAAGCCATACTGGCAGAGTATGGAAAACAAAATGTCAATTAATTTCAAATCAATTTAATCACATTAAAAAGTCACAAGAACATCACAACATTGATTGAATACAACAAAAAATAAAAGTAAACGACATTGGGTTTATTTAAAAAAAACAACATATTTTTTTGAGCCATGTCATGACAAAACCAACGTAATGCGTTTGCGACCAGCATGGATCCAGACCAGCCTGCGCATCCGAGCAGTCTGATCAGGATCCATGCTGTTCGCTTACAGACCCTATTATAAGTAGAGAAACTGATAGCGAACAGCATGGATCCTGATCAGACTGCGCGGATGCGCAGGCTGGTCTGGATCCATGCTGGTCGCAAACCCATCATGTTGGTTTTGTCATGACACAGCTCATATTATTATTTTTTTTCATTGAGGATTTATCACACTTTTATTATCATTTAATCTGTTTTGTTAAAATAGGAACACTGGAAATGTCTGGTGGAAAGTCACAATCAATATTGATCAGTTGGAAGTAAGAATCATACATCCAAATCTTGTCTTTATACCATTTTAGATGCAATGATTTTACTTGAATACCCCTAAATCTGAATAATAGGCAAGTCTTTCTTTGAATTTGAATCTATTCATTTTAAGTTTGGAGTATTTCAGTATCGAAATGCTGTGGATAATAAAGATTTCATGTACAATGTACATAATATTTATATTTTTTATAGAATTACTAGACTCTCTTATTTTATAATAGCATTTAATAAACTGCCACAGGTAGTGTGTTTTGTTCTACAAAATCACATATGCTATTAAAAATAGAACTAATTAAATGCCTAAAAAGATTACAATTTAAAGTGATCATCTCTAAAAATCTTACTTTCATATTTACATACATTTGATTAGTGAAATATAGAGAATATCATTCACTGTAAAATATTGTATTTCATTAGTGATATATTAAATTTATTACTAACAATTAAAATATTTTATTTCAGTAGAAATATATATTCAGTATTATCAGTCATAGTTCTCATAGTACAAATAATACATTTCATTTCAAATAAACATTCTCTAAAAACATAGTGTATTTTATTCATTATAAAATACTATTGTTAAAACATTATTCATCAGTGATGTAATAAATTATTAAGTACATCATTCAATGTTAAAACACTGTATTCCTCTAGTGATATATTAATTAAATCATTTTGATATTAAAATACTGTATTTCATCAGTGATATATTAATTATATCATTTCATATTAAAATATTGAAATTCATTAGTGATATATTAATTATATCATTTAATGTTAAAACATTGTATTCCATTGGTGATATATTACTTATATCATTTCATATTAAAATACTGTATTTCATCAGTGATACATTACTTATATCATTTCATATTAAAATACTGTATTTCATCAGTGATATATTACTTATATCATTTCATATTAAAATATTGTAATTCATTATAAGATACCATGTAAATTTTAACATATTAAATTCAAAACATAGTTAGAAAAAATGATTTTACAGTACATAAAAAAAAAATAATAAAAATTCACAATTGTTATTACATAAAGTTGACTAGATTAAAATGCAAACTTGTATTATAAAATGATTTTTAGGGATATATCCTAAAATTTCCAACATTTATTACCATAATAATGAATATTAAATGTTCTGGTCAGCATTAAACTTGTAAGAAGTTTGTACAGTTAAAAAACACAACACTAAGGTATATCTTCATGAAGTTAATTTATTATTCACTGCTTCTGTAGAAACTGCATCTGTGCGGAGTAGAATTCCTTATTATGCACAAAACGCACATGTCTATTTAGGTTGCTTTTTGTGGTAAAGTCGGCTTCACACTGTGAGCATTGATAGGGTCTCTCTCTAGAATGTTTACGGTAATGAATTTCAAATGCAGCTTTCCCGGGGAACCATTTACCACACTCTCCGCATTTAACATTGGATGGTTGGCGTTGACTGTAATCTACTGCAGCATTGACTTCACCACTTCCTTGACCTGTATAGTCACTTAGCATGTTATCTGAAATGGTAATAAATAATAAAATTCATAAGTTTGTGATTTGTTTCATAATACTTAACTTTGTATGACTATTTCTAAAATCTTTATCTATAGCTATAATAAGAATACTATGTTTATGTACCATATGACCAAGGATACCAATAAATATGATAACAAGCATAATTATATACCAGGGCACTCTATGTACTGTCCCATAAAAAGAACATTGCTGCACTTCATCATTTCTGGGGGTACAATAACTACATCGGGGTACAATAACTAGATTTGGGTTCATTTATATTCCATAGAGGTTTTTTCGGTACTTTAACTGCAGTATATAGATCACAGTGGCATACTGGTTTAAAGTACCTGTTGGTTTCTAAGAAGTGGTTAGATTACCATAACAGCACTAAATAAATACACATGACAAAAAGTTAAGACATATTTAAATACATATTGGGGTGGAAAATCCACAGTAACAAAAAGAAACACAAACAGTATCTATAATTATATATTTGTTCAGTATGTCGTATTTACAAATATCTACAAGACTGTTGTTTCACATACAGTCATGATATTTCAAAAACTTCACTGTTCAATTCATAAAAAATTATCTATAAATGCTTATATTTCGTTATATTTCAGACATAAATTGAATTTAAGTTTTCTCATATTTAAAGCTAAAAAATTGTTTCTAAGTTAAATTTTTTTTTGCCCATAAAATACAGTCAAACCTGTGGTCATAGATCACCTCAAATCCAAGACCACATACAAGAAACCTCTGACATGTCAATCTACCATTTGAACTTCATTTTCACATATAACAATTATACATGTCTTGCAAAATTCCCATTTTGAGAAACCATCTCTATAAAAAGTTTTTTTTTAATTCAAAGGATGCTCTTAACAACCAAGTTTGACAGTACTAAATCCTTATTTACCATAAATTTAGTAATATTTAAATATTACACAACTCAGGTATGTATTGTAAAAGGAAACATGGTTTAGAATACAAATACATAACTGTTACCATGGAAATCAAAGTATCCAGTACAGAAGTTATTCCTTACTCAAGTTTATTAAAGGCCCATTGTGCCTGAAAAATGATGTCATTTTTATTTCTTTCACCATTATATCAAATTTACAACTTATATTTGCTTTTTCTAAAGAAAGAAAAATAAGTTTTCGAGGCCAAATGTGCCTTTAATACTTTACTGAAAAAAAAAATCCTTTGCTCATGAAATCTATCTACAGCTCAGGTAAATTATCCTTGCAAAAGTAAATTATCATTTACTTAGGAGATTAATTATTATTAACTTATACAGATCATTTGCTTGCTTATACTACTTTTAGTTCAAGTAAGGTATTGTTTGCATGCATAAATGACCCAAAAAGTTTGCTTATCCAAAATATTCTTTACAGTCTGAAAGTGAATTATCCTTGCTCAAGTTATAAACTCTTCTTATAAATGAATTATCCTTCAATTTCCTTAAGTTAATTAATATCATTTGCTGTACTGGTAACTAAATTGTTTAACTATGCCATCTTCAATTAGGTGTCTGTATTTAGATCTGTAGTGTCTATATTTAGATCTCTAGTGTCTATATTTAGACCTGAGGTCCACTGACATACTGCTTCCATATAACTCCCTGCATGCTTTCTGTGTCCTGATATGGCGGTACAAGTTGTTACTTTGAGAAAATCCCTTTTTACAGTTGGGGCAGACATGTGGCTTCTCTCCAGTATGTGTTCTCAAATGTATCTCCAAAGCAGCTTTACAGCTCAGTGTCTTCGTACATCCACTAAATGTACATCGGTAAACTGTCCATGGATGCTGGGACTCTGCAATAAATAAGAAAGAAGGATAAATATAGACTGTACATAGATCAAATAAGGATAGAAAATATCACTGAAACTATAGCAAATCACATAACTATAAAGTCTTTAACTATACATGTAGCATACTTAGGATCACAGAATCTGCTGGTGTCCCTTTTCAAATAGAATGCTAAAATAATGCTATACAGGTGTAAATTATCTTGGCAGAAAAGAGGAGTTAAAGAAAATTGAACACAACATTGCAGGCAACAAGCTACAACTTCAAGAGGTCATTTTTGAAATGCCTTTGGCTCTTAAAGAGCACGAGACAAAAATTATTCATGGGTGGCCATGATTGGTTCCCCTATACATTTGCACATATACATGTTTATATATTTTGTATTTCTTCACACAGAACTTTAAATCTTTTCTTTTTGCTGTTTTTATTTCTTTCTAAGCAATAATTTGTACATATAACTTGTAAATAAAAATCATCAAACTTACATTTTTATAATATAAAAAAATTACAGAAAAACAAGGAAATTACATGCTTTAGATTGTTCATTCTTTACTCAATTAAATCAATATCCTTCAGATGCTAATTAAAGTTTTTCTTTGTCCTAACTCCACATCCTATGATCTAATCTCATGTGAATAAATGAATGAACATTGCTTTGATATAAATCATCCCTTACTTCAAATAAATTATATTTAGCATGAATAAAAACTTATTTGGCTAAATTGTGCTAAGGCAAAGTTAGTAATATTTTCGTTAATTCTGCTTTTTCTTTGCAAATTTAACCCTTCACTTTCAACAAATTAC